CTTTGACTGAGATTGGACAGCAGAAATTTATGAATATGATCTATAACAAGAATCAAGAATGCATAATGAAGTCGACCAAAATGTTAGAGATCCGTTTTCACAATCAGTTGGGAAGAATTAACGACCTTTTACAGAAACTGGGCTTTTTATCAAGAATCTGACTGAATTGACTGGATTCACTTTGAAGATGGCTAAATATACAACTTTCAAGAAATAATGGTTTTTTGGTGGAAAGTGTGGCATGGTAACAACACCCGGAGAGGGACATCCTACCTATATTTCTAAAATACAAACAACTATACTTATGCTACCTCAATAATAAAAAAAAAATGTAAAACTTTGAAAATAATTCTCAGTTCTCAATGTGGCAGAAAATGGAATGTGGTTTCAGTCATTTTGCTGAAAAAAAAATCTCACAGAAAGCAATAAATAGCTAAACACCAGTCAGTAAAATCTTGATAAAGATTCTACAATAACATAAATTTTAAGTTGTGTAGTCTTGTAATAATACACCCACGTGTGCTAGATGGCAATTCCACCACTAGGAAATGGTGATTATATATGATATGTGAAATAATTGGCTACATTTCAATTTTAATTTCAGTTGGTTTTAATCCATTTTTAATCCATTGGTAGTTGGTTTTAATCCATTTTTATGGCAATAGGCACTATTGAGACCAATTATCTGTGGAAGTAATTCATAGTACATGCTTACCAAAGCATGTCACCAGTGCAAAGAAGATGCTTACCTTGCTAATTGCCATAATAGGTAAGCTCATAGCTATTAGTCACTAACTTAAATTTAATAACAAGTGTCAGGGAGGAATTAGAAGGCTGAGAAAAGTGGCATAAGAATTTTAAAAATATAAAAATAGTACCTAGAACGGATATTCTAAAATATTAGAAGACATGAATGAAATTTGACTTGGTCTTATGTCATTAAGATGTTTCAAGCAAGAATTAGAGATTGCTAATGAGTTCATATCACTCATCCAATAACTAATTTCTGATTACAGAGTCAAAATTAAAGGGAAAAATTCAATACAACTACATATTTTAACTATCTCACTTTATATTTTCTGGAATGTAATAGAAATAGTTGCCATTTTACAAAAATTAATCCTTAACCTCACCTGCTCTTCTTAGAGAATATGAGTATGAAATACTGGAATTTATATGTATTTTTTATTTTAAGAAGGAAATTGTTATTACAGATTTTAAAAAGACAAGGTTATATTGTTTGCAAGGACTAATGATTTTCTATAAACACAAAGTTAACAATTTTACAGTAGAGGATGCAGTGTAGAATCATCCTTAAGAAGTTAAGAGAGTTCACAAATGGAAAAGTCTCAGGGTGCATTAGTCAGAGCATATTAAGCAATTCTGGGGACAGGGAAATTTTATTATTTTGTTTAAAGTAGTAGTATTTAAACAGTTAATGGGTTTAATATTCATTGTATTTATTCCATGATAAGAAAACAACCTTCAATTTCTACTTAGTAAGCAAGTGAAATTTTGAAGTAAAGTGATTTAGAGTGATTTATTAAAATATACAAAATCCCAAAGGTTTTAGAGAGCAGGTGTACTTAGAGAATTCATAAGAGGTCAATTACCCTTAAATTCTACTATGTAAGATGGTATAATAGGGATTGGATAGATGTAGTAAGAACTTCATTTACTATGCTACAGAATTTGGAATTCAAATAGGGAATCACTAAAAATATTTAAATATTTTAAAATATTGAATCAGGAAAATATTTTATTACATTTTTTAAAAGGAGTTCAGGAAGCAGAATGGGGGATGGGTGGAAAGGAGTCTATTTAGTAAAAATGCTACTACAACAAACCGAGAACAATTTGTAATAATGACATACAGGGCAGTTAGAATTGTGCTGAATAGGGGCCTCCCCGGTGGCACAGTTGTTGAGCAATGGGCTGCGAAGCTGCCTGCAGCCTCTGCGGTGCCGGCTCGATCCCGGCCACCGGGGAGGGTCCCACCTGGCACGCAGACCTCTCCTGCCGCACCCGCTGCTCCCTGCAGCAGAGTATTTCATCAGTCTGCCTGTTCTGCTTCCTGCTCTGACTCTAGTGAATTCTCTCACCCTCCCGCGCTTCTGACTGTACCCAGTGCTTGTACAAATAAATAAATCTTAAAAAAAAAAAAAGAATTGTGCTGAATAAAAGAAAATTGTTTAAGAACAATTAGAATTGGCTGTCGAATGATTAATTTGATATTCAAGATGATGCATCAACAATGATTGTTAGGTCTTGTCTCAGGAAAATTGGGATAACAAAAGTTCTAGTCACTTAGATAAGACAAATAGGAGATTTGGAAAAAGGGTAGGAAGGATAAGCTCATAGCATAAGTTCTGGAATGAAACTTCATAGGTTCCAATCCAGGACCACCACTTCATGGCCATGAGACAAGGGAAACGTACTTCAGTATCCATTGCTCAATTTCTTTATATATAAAATGGGAAAGTTCGTAGTACTTATCTTACAGTGTCATTGTGAGGTTTAAATGAATTTATACATACCATTACCAATATATGCAGCCTCTTCATAATCTCAATGCTAACCACACTCACTCTGGTAATCTGTTACCAATAAACTTAATTCCAACAATCTTTGATTCAACTGTAATCTATATTTTTCCTGATATTTGTTGCAGTACCTCTCTCTTCATATCCTTATTTCCTAATTTCCCAGCTCTAATTTCATGGACAATGCTAATAATCACTTTCTTGCATACAATCTCAACTCTGACTGTTCTTTCCTTTCATTATATTTAGCAAAATAGTCTTTTGAAGGCTGTTCTACTATTCTACTTCAGGAAGTAGAATGTAACAGGAGAAATATGACTAAAAATGACCAGAGGAATATATTCGTCAAAGCTTACCGTTGTTGTTCTAAATTGATGATTACTAACCAGTGACAGCTCATTATTCCCTGCCAATGCTATGGTATTTCCTTAATCCACTGAGCTGGGAACATAAGAGTTCAATTATTACATAAAATAGTTAATGCTTGCATCCAGCACATAAAACACCATGGGACGTCCAGACTGCAGCTATATAGGTGTATGATTCAGAAGAGGATGAATCAAATATAAATTGATATGATAATGAGATCAATTAAATAAACAAGATCCCAATGGGAAAATGTTCAGAGTGGAAAGCTGAGATATGTGCTGGTAGAACAGGGATGCTCCAACATAGGACAGTGAAAGTCATAAAAGCCAGGAAATAAAATAAGAGAAAGTACCCAGAGAAACAGAAGTAGGACAAGGAAATTATGGCATCATAGGAATCAATGAAAGGTAGACTCTCATGAAGGACACAGTAATCATTAGTGCCAGATGCACAATTGTAGACAGTCCCAAGAAAATGGCAAAAGAGAATATTGAGGTACAAATCATGATGGAAATGTAGGAAGATTTGAAAGTAAACCTTGAGATTCAAAAGTACCTTAAAATAATAATGAAAGTGTTTGGAAGATTGTTAGAAGACGAGAATATTCCTGTAACACATGATTACCCTTGACTCTCTCTCTCTTTCTCTCAAAAAAAGAAAGAATAGCATTAAAAAGAATCCATTACATGTTTGACTTTGGATGACCTGAGAGTAACATAAACGGGCCAAGGAAAAATTCCCTGATAACTGAATTGCATAGACATTAAGCAAGCACTGGTTGGTAGTATGATGTGAACGATTTCTTCTTAGAGTTAAAATCTGGGATCAAGGTTGCACTGAAGCCAGGGTATGGTGTGGAAACATACATCTGAAAAGGTATGAAACTATAACTCTGAATCACGAATAATGGCTGCAACATACCAATATTACCTCAATAAAAATAACAAAAGAAAACATGTAAAACTTTTACAGCCTTATCTCTTTAAGACAACACTACGAAAGAATAAAAATAACACCAAAATTAATGTAAAATATAAAATGCACAACTCTCATTATTTTTAATTACTCTTACTTACTACAGAAGGTCTAATAAATCTTACATAAAGAAAGGAAATTTAAACTTAGTTATTTGCTATTCTCAGCAATATAGAGTTATTTTCTTTTGCCCTATATTTGAGTTTGAGAAAATGAAGATTTTTAAATAATTTTATGAAATAAAGACATTTAAAATACAACCAGTATTTTACAGATAATTACAAAATGAATCATAAGTGGGTGCAAATTGAGTAATTTGATTAATTTCGAGGTTGACCTTTAGAAAAGTATTTGTCTAACATTTCTTAGTTGTTGTATTTTTATTATATCATACTAAAGCTCCAGCCGCTTAATTTTCATGTTGTTTTTTAAAAATGAGAACGGCATTATGGATATAGTTTGTTTTGTAAAATTACAATTTTACTTTCAAAACAATTGTGATTTTGAGGTATAAAATGAGTATTATCGTTAAATATCAGCTTAAGGGTGATGATTACTCTTTCACAGCTATCTTATTCATTTTTTTCTTATATATTTATTGAGTTATGTAATCATTTGCATGTAGTTAAATTTATTATTCACTAATAAGAAATAAAATACACTTAATGCAGCGCACAGCATTCCTCGAGCTATGTGTCATCACTCGAGGTAGCCTCTGACCTAGACGAGAGACATCAACATTGCAGATATATAATATGCATCCCCAGCAAAATTGCTCATCAGAATAGCTTCATTATTCTGGGAAGCTGGATCTATAAAATATGTAAAATGTAGAAGTGTTCTGCCTATACCATTTCTGGTAAGTACAGCATGACTAAGTGATAAAACCTGAGTCAGCGTCAGAGCATATCTTAGTAAAAAGTTTATTTTGCCATGGAAGAAAGGAAATAAAGTAGCAAAGGTGTTTACTCTGAAGTAAGGAGCTATTTTAAATCTATAACATTCTGCCTTGATCAATGGAAAATTACCTGAAAGCATTTAGTGGAAGAGTGCACCAGTTAACATAGAAACCCCAAATAATAGTAAAATGACGAGAATGAAGGAAAAACTCACCAGTACCACCGGACAGATTGTTGTGGGTGGTAAAATATGGTCCTTCAAAGGTCCGCAGTCACATTCAGGTTTTAGATGAGAAGCACATTTATTATGCAGCTAGGAAGGGAGAAAGAGGATACTATCAAATTTTGTGTGACAACAACAAACATGGGCAGATTGTATTTCAATGAGATACAGCAAATACATTAAAAGTACATTAAAAGAATTACAAGAGCAAATAAACATGATCATAAAGGGATTCACATTACATTTGTCCTTATAGATCTACTTTACATAAACCATTTCACAACTTCCGTGAACTAGCCTATTTATATGTTTTCTAATTCTCCGAAATGTTTATACTAAAAATGTGCATAGGTTTTGTACCAGAAAAGTCTGATTTTTTTTTTGACAAACATAAATCATTGTCCAATATAGTTCTTCTTTTGCTTATCTGTTAGCATAATCTTGCAATCACTATGTGCTGTGGATGCTGTTTTTTTTTTTTTTTTTGACCCTCCTGTTTTCTCAAAGTCATTCCAAAGTGCACAGCTCAGTATGGGGCATAATTGATCCCATCATTAGTTTTAACTTCGTAATTCAATATGTAAATGTAACCAGAGGTTCATCTCAGTAGGAACAGGATATAAATATAAGATGATTATGATTATAAAAATTTATCTCTATATTGTATTTATCAACTCTACATTAATTTCATATATAATTATATCATGTGTTAATACTTTCCAACATGTATGAACCCATACTGATATTTTTGTTAGTCTTGGTCACAAGTCTAAATAATGGTGGGAAACACAGTGTATTAAATAGTGATATTTTAAAATTGAGGTTGTAGTTTTTATTGGAACCATACAGATTTGCTAAAGAAATAGCTGTTTAAAGATATCTAAAGTTTGTTACCTCCCTATTTCATTATCAATTTAAAAGGAAATAGTAATACTATTGAAAATTATGCATGTTAGTAATGTAACACTTTGTTATTAACATGTCCTGTTAGACAAAAATAAGGAACCTCATCAGAAAGTTTTATTTTAAAAGTCATCCAATTTTATTCATGTCTATATTAATTTCCTCACTAAACTTACCTTTGTAGGCAATTAATTAGCAATCAAGCATAGGGCTCTAATGAGTGTTGATTTACTGTTGGTGATAGAACTCTTTTGAAAGGGTATATCTATTGACCTTGAATCTAAAACATCTGTCCTGTTAACTCTCTACCTTAGAGTTAAGGCTATTTTTATACTAATAACTGCCCATTAGGTAACATTACATGAAATAAAAGTAACTTTGCACATATTCATCTACAACTAGCAGTCCTGCATTTTAGTGGCATGCCAACTCCTTATAAGAAAAACTAGCGTAGGGCCTCCCTTGTGGTACCAGGGGTTAAGTCTCAGCACTATGAAGCTATTCCCAGCTACTGCAGCATGAGTTCGATGCCCAGCCAGGCAGGTGACCCATACAGCACAGCAGACCTCTCCTGTCTCACCCACTACTTCCCCTCAGCAGTCAATCAGTCAGTCAACCTGCCTGTTCTGCTCCTCACTCTGCCTTTGGTGAATCCTCCACCCCCTGCACCTCTGGCCTACAGCCCAGTTCTTATTTGCATAAGTAAACTAAATCTTTAGAAAAAAAAAAAAAAGAAAAATGCATACTTTACACAAAATAAAATGAGTGATTTACTAACTTGTTGGACTCAATTTTCTTAGAATAAATCATGGCCTTTGAATTTGGGGTTAAGAGATAATGGATTACATGAGTGTTGTGGATTGAACTGGGTTCCCCAAAAGAAATGCTGATGTCCTAACTCCTGGAATCTGAGTATATGTACTAATTTGGAATTAAGATTTTTGTTGATGTACTTAGGTTCTGATGAAGTCACACTGGATTAGGTGGGACCCTAAGAGAGGGACAGCTGGGGGGGGAAGAAAACCACGTGATGACAGGGGCAGACATTCCATGACTCAGCTGCAAGTCAAGGACTACCAAGCCCTGCTGGTGAACACCAGAAGAGGCAGGAAGGTTGCTCCCCTACAGCCTTTAGGGAGATTTTGGCCTTGCCAACATAGTGATTTTGGATTTATATGCTCCAGAGCAACGAGAGAATAAGTATCTGTTGTAGGGCACTCATTTTGTGGTATTTTGTTATAGAAGCCCTAGGAAACTAATATACAGATCAGGATAAAAACTGAAGCAAAATGAGAGAAAGAATTACGTTTCCTAAGGTCTTCTGTACCATAGTTCTCACACAGAAAAAGCTTTTGGTTTAGAGCCCACACAACCTCTATAAACACTAGAATGCAGACTCTAAAAACATTCCTCTGAAAAAGCAAGCTCCATGATAAAAAATTTTATGTGTAGAGTGAGAAAGTACTGAATTTGTACTCGTGGCTACAGTCTGTGAAGCCACATATGTTACTGCTATGGACAAAGGGGCGGGGCACCTGGATCGCCTGCCAGCACTGACCAGAGAGGCACAGCCCCTCATGCTCTATCCCCCGTGTTTCTGACAAATTGCAAGTGACATGGTAAAAGACTATGAACCTCTCCACATATTATTTGAGGGTTAGCAGAGGTAAGACATGATGGCAAAAATAAAATGAATTGAAAGACAGCTTTTTGGTCCACAGGTTTTCCTAGTCAAAAGAAAAGAAGTACAATCACACAGTAATGAAGTAATCACACAGGTACAATCACACAGTAATGAGCTAAAGAGTGTGTGTGTGTACTGGGGAGGTGGGCAGCATAGAGGAGCATTACTCTCTATATTATAGTGTGGGGCTGTCAAGTGTATTTCATGGCAATTGGTGCCATGAAATACTGGTCTCTGCAGAGCTACAAACAAAACAAAACAAAACAAAATGGCATGGAATTTTTCTTTCTGTTTGCCACTGTGGCTGGTAGAGCTAGGTAGCTATAGCAGGGTCTCTAGGAAGACCAGTAACCATATCATCATGAGTGAAAAGTACACAAAGTACAAGAACATGTCCCTACCCAAGAAGTATCTATTAATTAATAATGTGCAGGAGACTTTGTATAGGAACCTGTAACTGCTACAAATACTTTAAGGTGCCATCAACATCACCACACTGTTCATAATTAGAAGTGTCAAAGCCAAGAACACTGTTCAAACTACAGATCATTCCACAAGCCATGAGCCAAGTTTGCATAGCAGGTCTGCCTTTCACCATGTTGCTTAGACGTACTCAAGACAAAATATAAAGCATAAAAGTCAATGAGAAAACTGAGTTTTCTCTGAAACATACTTTGTTAAAAAGAAGCAAATATCAACAAAATAGGGAGTAGACAACAGAATCTTAGGCTAGTAATAATAAGGCTCTGTTTCTTGATCAGGTGATGGTGACTCAGGCTGCTCATTTGTGCAAAATTCACTGTTTTATCCTTAGGATATGTATCATTTTCTGTGTGCATTTCATGTTTTGATAAAAATTTAAAAACAAAAAAAGTGAGTATCATCAGCAATAACAAGTTGCTTAAACTTCTCACCATGACATTTTACAGACAAGAAAAAATAATAAGATGCAGTCCACCCTAGTGCCAATTAGATGAAGAAGACTGACAATTGTCATAAAAGATAACCCAGATTCAAAATCAGCAAAAATGCAAACACAAATACCCTCATGCAGAACAGAATAAACAAGAGTTTGATGAATCCTGCCTCTTCAGCAAAATAGTCATAGCGGCCTTTGAAAAAGGCCTTCCAAAATGTTTTTTATTTTTGCTTATAGTTATCTTTGTGTTTATTAAGGACAATGCATAGAAATCCTCAGGTTATTATTTTACTGTATGTTTAGAAAAACTCATCATGTATAGGGAATCAGTTTGATATCTAAGAAATACATAATATACGAACCAGATTTTCCTGGAAGTGAATTAAACACTTGGAAATAATTTCAGAGTTGATGGCAATATTCAGTAGCACCTAATTTAGAGCCAGATCTATGTTTATTGGAAAAAGCTGTCTCAAGTTAGGAAGAAAAAGAAAATATTTGTGTGTGTGTGTGTATGTGTGTATTTACAGGTTGGAGTTGAGAAAAGAGTGGGGGATTGTTTTGAAAAGAAAACAGTGGCACATCAGAAGTTAAAAGGTGGGATTGTAAAAATAAATTTTTATATGAATTTGGAGAAAAAAAGTCATTTCTCAAAAGAATGGTTTAGACATTATTTTGTCCCTAACACTGTGCAATTTCAGGCACTGCCTTAAATACTGGCATTTGTTAAAGCATAAACTTTTCTATCAGAAAGGCATGGGAACCTTTAAACATTACTGTTAGGAACTTAACATTTTAATAAACGGAGTACCCCTGTAAGATACCAAAAGTGAATAATTCATAGCCGTAACATACATTTTCTTTTGTCAAACTCTAATGAAACACATCACCTTCATATGCTGGTGAGTCTTGCCTGGCCAGGGACATTTTACTGCAATCAGGACCACATAGCAACATGTTTGCAATAGAATGTCAAAGAAATACACTTAGAACAGAAATGTGCAGATACAAAGAATGGATCTTATAAATGGAACAATGTAAGAAGACAGAACCAATGAGAATATTTAGCCTGGTTGAAAGGACTGAATTACAGAGCACAGCAAAATGGTTGTATATTTGTTAGAAGATAGCTTATACTGTTCTTACTTGGGTCTTTCCTATTTTTAAGTGGTTGGAATTACAAAAGGAGATAAACTCACTGCTAAGACCCTCACTTTATATCTCCAAGCTGGCAAAATTGTATAATGTCAACAAGCCACCGGTACTGACTAATAAGCTAGTGTTAAAATGTGTCTTTAAGTATTTGAATAAATTTACTGGTATATCCAATACAGTTGCATATTGAAGGATAATTTCTTAAAATAATACAAATAGTGCATACACCTAAAATTGAATTTTTAACAGTGAGGAAAATACTCCACCAGTCACTAAAGTGAAATCATTGAGGACCTTCTCTAAACTCAGCACTCCTTAAGAACTCAGAGGTCGGAATGGAGGGATTGCAATTGTATGGGGAATATAAAAATAAAATTAATTAATTAAAAAAAAAAGAACTCAGAGGGATCAGGACAAATCATGTATATAGGCCCAAAAGCTGATCATGTGATGGCATAGCATGTAGACAATATTAGTGTGTGTTGGGAGGAAAGGATGTCCTGAACAAACTCCACAAACACAGGTTTTATGGACTCCACCCCTATCCCAGGCCAAAGAGATCCCAGATCCCTCCCAAAGACGACAAATCCCATAATATCATCATCACTGAAGGGAGAATTTCTGGCAACTGGGAGTGGAGTCAAGCAGCCAGGCTTGGTATAAAACCAGACATGTGGGTTCTGGGGGGTCCATGGTTTTTCAGTGGCTTTTGGAATGCTATTGGGGTCCCAGATCAGTGGAACTGTTTGGACACATTCACCTATTTATCTCTGTCTCTCTCTCTCCCTCTGTTATGCCTTTCTTCATTTCTCTTTTTTTTGTAAACAAACACTCTATTAAACATTTTGTGTGTGCCTCAGTTGAGTCTCATCATAAGTCCCTTTAAGTGTTTGGATGAGGACCCACAATCAGGACAACCCATTTCACATGGGGGTTGCCCTCCAACACATGCAGAACTGAAACCACTAGAGAGCACTTTGGTCTCTCCTTTTGATGTGGAATAAAAGTACAGAAACTAATTCAGCAAAAAGAAAATATTAGTGTCAAGGCAAATAGCAAGGAATATATGAAAGTGAATTTGGTGCTTGAGGTGTAGTTAGAATTTGAGGTGCATTCAAGGTAATAGAATGAGGAAAATAACAGGTGGGGAGGAAGCATAGCCTTCCCCAGGGACTGCCAGCAGATCTGTAGAGCTGGGTGCTTGGGGTGGGTATTATACTTGGTCATGTGCTTAGGCTTGAGTGTGACATATAAGGAACTGAAAGCCAGGTCTGGGAGGGAGGAGATGAGGGCTGCATTTATTATCGCAGAACTATTATAGGTTGCTGAAGGTGGCATATGATAACAAACTAGTATTTTCAGATCATTTTGGAGGTGGTTTGCAGCCTGCATTACAGGAAAAATACCTTCTGTTAGGGAGATAAGCCAGGATATTCTGACTCTAATCTAGTTAAGAGGTGCTAAGAGTTTGCACTTGGGCTGTGAATGGTGGAGACAAAAAACTCAAATCTGAGAGAGATATTTTAAGTTGGAAATTTCAAGGCTCAGTGATAGGTTGAATATATGAGATAAAGGTGAAAGATAAGAATAACTGAAATTGACTTCTAACTCTATTTCCAGTGACAACAAGCATGATGGCACCGAATCTGCTTGAAGAAAAGAGTTGGAATAGTTGCTCTTTGAGAATAGAAAAAAAGTCAACTTAGTCTGTCCTTTAGGGAGATTCGGGGACACATGATCTGGAGGCTTTTTGTGCAAGCAGTGCTGTTCCAACTTAGACTGGGCATCTATAGATTATTCCAGAGGTGAGAGAAATGGCACTAGTATATCCATGGAGTGTCCTCTGTAAGCCAGGGGCTGGAATTTGTAACCCCATATGGTATTTAACCTAATTCTCACTATGATAATTGTCAATTACTGAGCACTTAGCACGTATGAGGTCCTGACCTAAACACATCTACACAGACATTTTTACTCATTTAAGTGTAATAACAATCCCATGAAACAGCTAACATTAAATCCATATTACAAATTAGGAAATTGGACAAAACTTTTTACATACCTGGCCCAACAATACACAACTACCATCTTAAGACACTTTTCAGTCCAATTTATAAGACCAAAAAAAGTATTTCTAAATGTAACATAAACAGAAGTAATGGCATTTGGAAAGCCCTGAAATGTAGCCAAGTTTCATTCTCTTTGCTTTGCTCGGCAAACCATCCCTCATATAACTCTACTCAGACAGTCCTTCCTAAAACTCAATATTGATGGTGCCATGCCCTCTCACTTTCAAAACTTCTGCTGGCTCTTTGTTATATTAATAGCACTTTCTAGAAAGCATAAGGACATAAGAAAGTAAATTCAGTTTGTTTAATGGTAATTGGTAGTGGTAGGTAATTGTCAGTGAAGAGCAAATCAACTTTATACTAAACTTTTTCAACAATGGTTCAAGAAGTATAGATTATACTAAATATATAAATGTTCTATAGTAAATATAACTTGGCCTAGATACTAAATCAATAATTAAATGTGTCCTTATAATTGCTTAAAACAAAAAAAAAAAAATCTCAAAAGTGCAAGAGACTGAAGTTATTCTTTGAAGGCTGAACAGTCTTCTGGATGTAACTATTTTTTTTAATTGTTCAAGTTAACTCCATAAACCAAATATCCACATGTCTCCTGACCTCATGTCTACAGCTAATATGTCTGAAGTTGGCCAGAAACCTCAAGACTTGTAAGAGCTAAATGAGAGGGAAGCCATTTTTGCTGGAGCTGGCTGCCTTTAAACCTGCTCGGGCCTCCATGGCTAGCCTGATCACAGTCCTAGAATTTAATGAATTTGTAGTTTGCATTGTGCCATAGTGACCAACAGTGCCACTTTCATGTATACGTTCATCGTTAGTGTAAGAATTAGGGGCATGTGGTCTGAACTGATTTGAACATGAAGTCTCTAGATTTCAAAACATATGGTTACTGGCAAAAAGAGGTAATACATGGTAGTTTTCAGGGGCCTGGGGCTGGAGGGTTGAGAAGATGCTGTTTAAGGGTACAAACTTGCAGCTAGTAAATAAACTAGTTGGGGAGATATGGCACACAACAGTGACTGATGTCAGCAACACTGCATAATAAACTTCAAAGTTGCTCAGAGTCCATACCTTAACCGTTTTCACACTGAAAATGAAATAATATATATATATGCACCATGATAAAGGCATTGACTACTATAAAATCATTTTGTAATATGTAAATGATGAAGTCAATATTGTATACACCATACTCATACACAGAGATATAACAATCATATCTCAAAAAAAGGAAAAGAAGTATTGTTTATTCAGAGGTAGCACCATCTATCCTGTTAAAGGGGGGGGGGTGAATTTTTCCACAAGGCTAACACCAGGATCAATACAAAATATAAATGTATACCTGATGAGTAGTTGGGCTATAAGTTGGAGTCACAGATAAGAGCACCATTAACACAAATGAAAGAAAATGAAAATGAGATATAAAATAAGAAAAGGATTTCAAGATGCCTTAAGCACCACTACGAGGGTGCCTTAGGGCTGGTGCCTTAAGCACTAGCAGGAGGGTGATTCCCACAGAATGGGAAGGACAGAAGATTTACTTCACGAAGATTAAATTTGGAAAAGAGGAAAGGAGTCAAGTAAAGCAAATTCTAAAAGCTCTAAAAGCTTTTGATTTAGGATAGGGAGTAGCAATATATATTTTTAGTGTTCAAACTGAGTATGCATTTAAAATACACTGATTTTTTAAGAAATAAAAAAGAAAAATAATAGACCTAAGATATTACATTTGAATTTTATGAAGAATACCAAAATAGGTTGAAATACAAAGAAGAAACAACTTCTGATATTCTCTAATTTCAATTTATGTTAAAGATGTAATTAATGAAAGATTTACTCTAGGAGGAATATAAGACAGTCTCCTACCATATTTGTAACAAAAACAAAGTATTTTCATAGATGTTTAGCAAAAACAACTGATATTTTTAATGGATTTTTTAAATGAAATAGTCATGGTCTTAAAACTGAAAATTCAATATGTTTGAGTAATTCATATGTGTAATTTAAGGCATTGTTAGACATTTTATTATAGTAACCAAACACTTCCAAAAAATAAAACCGTCTTTCATAATTGGGGAAATTTCAAACTTAAATATAATTTAACCAAGTAATAGCTGAAAATGACTGAGGAAAATGTGTTCATTTGTTCATTTAAAAAAAAAAATTGTATTTTTGAAATGCAAGTCCCAGTTTGTTTTTCTCATTATTCTCTGTGTGTATTTAAGAAACGATTTTAAATGGTTTGTGGGGGTGTGTGTGGGGGCGCTACAGAGAAACTTACTTGCTTAGCTGACTCAGTGCCCCCTACTGTTTTATCCCCACTAAAGCAAGAACTACTAGTCCTATAACAAGAGGACTCAAACATTAGCTGGAAGAACAAATAAGAGAAAAAACAAAGTCCTGTAAATATTTTTGTACTATATTGTCAAAAATGACTATTCTTGAAAATGCACATTGCAATTCATTTCCAGAAGTTAAACAGGAAATATTAGAAGCACCATCTGAAAACTGCATTTCTTCCAGAACTTACTAGAAGAAGTTTGATAACCATGTAAACCAGATGGCCTCCTAACACTACCCGGAAAAGACCAATCTACTTACCTCTTCTTTCTCAACCATCAATACCATTAATGACTGGCATTTACATCCATATCTCTTACCTCTCAATTTATGATTTAACTGAAGGAGGAAGGCAGAATCATACTGTGAATGGTAAAGTACTTACTACTTAGTACTTTACTGAGCACTTAGAAGCATCAATAATTAAAAGATCCCACTGACATCTCTATCTAGCCATGTAGCCACAGCAATTTGCTTAGTTTCTCTTAGCCTCAGTAACTTCCCTATATCCTTAAGTCTTTTCAACATTGCCTATCCTTTTAAGTCCAAAGATTCTGTGAGTAAAATAAATTCACAACATGTAAAACAGAAAACTCTTCCAAATTAGGGCTATGCTATGGAGGGAGAGTTAAATCCTACCCAGACAGTCTCCATTCTCATTTCTAACCCCAACCTGTGGCTTCTGAAAACTGTCCTGCCAACTCCTTGTGTTCCACAGATCACAAGAGGAGCCACATGATGGGAACACTTGTAATGTGGTCACTAGCTCTAAGATTCCACATTCTGTGAGGACAAGCTAACTCTGATCCTTATCCCTTCCCTAAGGGATAAGGGATGAAATAAGAAGCCGACAAAATAAGCCTTAATCCCAACAATCCCAAATTCAGGATAACCTTCCAGGATAGGACTCTCAGAGAACATGGAATATGTCACCGTGAGTGCCCTGTAGGTTTGTCTTCTGTTCTTACTCACTGTGATCTGACACCACACACAATGCAGTCCTGTCAGGCCCTGGTAACATTTCACTGTTTTGTGGCACTTATCGCACTTGGTCGGGCAGTTGCCTTCAACCCAGTAATGGTGCATGACCTAGAACAGAACAAGGGCACTGTGGTAAGAGGAGGCTTCCAGAAATGGCACCGTCAGAAAGCAAGCACACAACAACTTACGTCGGTGTTCTTCTTGGACTTCACATAGGTCTTAATGCAAGAGGGCGGTGCTCTGGCCACACAGCGCTCATGGACTGTGTACTTGCAAACTGAAAGGAAACAGGTACACAAATTCAGAGCTAACCCTGGTCCTGATTGTAATTTTCTAGGGAAAGAATGATATTAACAGAACCTCATTTCATATCCACTGCTCCCTAATCAATTCAATCAGCCACATCAAGGAAAAGTCCAAGTCGACTGTTTTTACCATGGAATACAAAAGGCCAATTAGCACAGGAAATATTATGCATGTGAAAAACCACGACTCCTCTATCATGGCATAGCAGGAAATGCTTAATTAAATCAGACCTCACTCAAATTTTTCACAATAATTCCCAGATGACAAAAATATTAAAGACAAATTGATGACTACCAAATGGCTTAGTGTCATTTGTTAGAAGGAAGAGATCTATATTTTACAAGTATAGGCATGAGAGCAGCTGGTGGGTATGGGAATAAAAGTCCGTGAGTTTATGCTATTTTGTCTATCGATTTAACTAAACCTTAGATAGCTGATTAGTCTATTTCCAGGGCGAACAGATTTCATCACCAATGCCAGGTCTTCATTAGAAGTTTGTCCCACACTTGGCACTCATCATGGCACTGATTGTTAAAAAGGAACAAACTTTGCTAAGTAGCATATGAAACTTCTGCACACACACACATACATCTATACACACACACAAAGCTTTATGTTTATATGCAAAAATATACGTACATAAATACACAAGCATTATTGTGCGTGGATGCATATACAAAATGCGATACCTAATCTAGATATTATTAGCATCTTCAAATTATTCTGTGACTTAATTATAAATATAACTGCATATCATATACAGGTATCTTTTAGTAAAACACATTTCAAATCAACAGTGTTAAATGTATAAATAGATGGCATAAAAAGTAAATAAAAAGCAACTAGAGAAGCCTCAATAAATCAAAAACTAACCCAGATGAAATTAGAAAGATAAAAATACCCACATAATAATTATATAGTAAAACTCTTCCAAAATCCCACAACTGTGATTTCCTTTGGCAACAATGAGGAAGAAATGTACTTTTTCTTGTCTTCCATACAAGTAATAATATTAAAAATATTGCATTTTCCACATTAAGTTTGTGAACAAAATTTTCACTGTCCTATTTATGACATTGTTCACATTATTTGGAAGCTATGCTTTTGTTCCATATGCTCCCATTAAGAGAATCAACCATGAAAAATTATTTCCACCTAAACAATAAAACTTTAAAAATATTTTTCTTTGTATATGGAGAACGTTTAGTATAATGAACTTTTCAGATATACCCACTAGAAACTGCCCTCCACAGTGAGACATGGCTATCTCATGTGGCTTTATAAAAATAATTAAACACTTAAGGATCACTGAACTGTGGCACTAAAACAAGGTTTTTAAAGTCAAATAATACATCTGGGAGAAAGACAATTCCCAAGCCTACTACCAAGAAGTTGCTAACTAAAAATAGTATCTTAAAACTATGCAGTGTATGGGGAACCAGGTAAGAAATTAGATTTAATGTAAATGCACAAGAACGCAATGTTTCTAATCCACCTGACTACTTCAGTAACTCTGCACATAATGGATAGAGAAAGAAACAGATGAAAAAATTGCTGTATTGAGAGAACTTTCTACTTTACTGAGGACACATGTTCCTTTATTTTAAAGGGGACACTGAAGAATGGAAACGTTTCACAGGCATTTATGCTGACTTAGGTAAATTTTATAAATTTATCGTTACATACAATACTAGAAACTACTGCTCGGAAAAACTTGCTTCGTAGAGAACAATAAAAATTAAATGTACTTGAAAAAAATGGCCACAACTCATGAAGTGGTGATGCTTTGGGTTTAAATATTAAGCATATATGAAGATTTTCTTCATGACAGCATTAAAAATAATGCCTTTGAGGTTTAAGGTTGGTTTGTAGCCCTTGTAACTTCTTAATTTGAATGCAATCAATATTCAACTAATTTAACTCTTTTTTAATAGACCTGAAGGAAGTGATTCATTATAAGAAGTCAATGTGAATAAAGTGGCTAACTTAGGGAATAAGGGATAAATATGAGCAGGATATAAATGAGACATGAGTAAACATTTTCATAACAACCTTAGAAGAAATAGGAACCATGTATAAATTAAACTCCACTGGCAAGAAAATGGTTAATTAATTGGAACATATCTTTAGTTGTTTTCCAAGGGCAGAGTTTCCCAAAATTGAAAACTGTTAAAAGTAGAGTGACCTCAACATTCAGAAAGATAAGCAAAAGGTATATGAAGGGTCGGGATGATTTCTCAGGTTGTCAGCTACAAACAGGGTTAGCCCATGAAATCAACCTTCCCTCACTAGGCAGAGAGGATGTCCGAGCTGAGTTGGCACACTCACAGGAGCAGCAGAGGCCCTGCTTCCCTACACCGATCAGCATGTTCAAGCAGAGATTGCAGTAGGCAGGTTTGTTAAAGTGTTTGAGTCTCCACACATGCTGTCCATCATCTTTCACGTTCTGCATGGGAAGCAAGAAAAACAGATTTCACTTAATGAAATAAACAGTAGAATATGCAAGTGCCAATAAAATTTAGAACTGGACTGAAGCATTTGAAGACAATCTGTTATTTCATCCCTGACTTTCTCCAAGATCGCCACAGAGTCTAGAAAAACACATGTACTCTCGTGGAATAAGATTCTTCTAACAAATTTCAGATGCTATAGCAACCACAAATTCTTGTCTAATGTCAACAGTTCAACAGCATGTCCCAAACCATAATGACCTGCCAAAGGGAGTACTCCCTAAAAGCAGGGATGTGTCTGCCATGCCTTGGAAAGTTTTATCCTCAACACAATCCCATACTCAATGACAAAAGAGGGAGAAAATGCCCTTGAGGGGATGAGCTGCAAAAAATTAAAACTTGAAATGCAGACACTATTTTTTTGGATATTCCTTATATGTTATAATTCATAGCAATATATTTTTGTATATCTCAAACAGCAAATTTTAAAAGATAAATATTTAAGGACCTAATTATATTAGCACGTTGTTTACCCTGAGAATCTTAGTGATTTGAATCTAATGGAAAGGCAGTAAAAATATTACTGTATTTATGTATAATAATCACTAATTATTTGCCACAAAAACTTGAATTTAAATGAATTCATATTTTAGCATAACAACTGTAATTACTATTTATTCTTCCAAGTAAAACTATATAATATCATAATAACTACTTCTCTAATAGTTAATCACATCTGCATTGTTCAAGATTTAAGTAAAATGAAACAATATGATGCTTAAGAATCTTGTAATTCCTTATAAGAAGTTTAAATCTATTAAATGAAGTTATTGTACATCATTACTTTGTTACCATAATTTTTCCATTAGCATATCTCATGAACCAAATTATATCGAACCGAGTAATTTTTGATAGAGTTTTATTGGTATTAAAAATATGACATCATAATTTTTCAAGTTAGACAAGTCATCATATTTGTTAGAATGCATCTGCTGAGTGATTTTTTGATCACCCACTATTTTTTGATCATATAGTAGGTGATCAAAAAACCTAATATTAATTCTGAAGTAGTGTGACAATATAAATTTGTTCAGATCAACTTGTTTCTTTTGTTAATCAAATATTAATAATAATGCTTAACAAATACTTTTTCCTATTCCCAGTCAAGAGATAAACAACCAGATTTGTAGTAGCAGATTAAATCCATAGTAACTAACACTTACATTAGGACCAGAAATGTCAAATTTGCATCATAATATGAAACATTAATGAAAATGCTTCCTAGGAGATAATTATCCATGAGTCTGTTGAATTTTTGCACATTTTATAAGAAGAACTGCCTTTTCCTCCAGGTTGTCTTTTCAAAGATTTGGACAATAGATATGTGTCTCCCTCTAGAGCAGAGGGCAAGTTCATTTATGTCCAGAATAACAAAAACATCTGTCTTCTAACTGAAGGTTAAGCAAGTTTGTTTACTGCACATTATAAAAGACTTAGCATCCATAAGCCAAGGCTTCCAAGTTCTGATGTGTACAGCAATTACTTGGGTCTTCTCCACCAAGACTTCAAGAGCCAGGAAAACTGGCTGATGTGAAGCTCTTACTAAGCTTACTTTGCAGTCAGTAAAGAAGTTCCTTTGTTCTTACCAAAGGGCCTCATGTCCTCTGCCAGCATCCATGAAACTGAGACAAGCGTTAATTTTCAAGTGGGCTAAATCTCAGCTCCATCACACTTTTTGACAATAGTCAGATTAATTTCTGAAAGATGCCTAAGAAGCTCTCACCAAAAGAAGTTATGCAGAAGGTATCATGGAGAGGACTTCAGAAGGCAAGGGTGTTTCAGTTTTCTTCCAAAACTTAAGAATCGGCTTCATAGTGATTTTTGATTCTGGTCCTGGTTTGCTTAAGTCCCAGGAGTCATAAATTTTGAGTACCTTTATTATTTGAATAGAATGTTTTATATATCTGTTTGTAATATTTTCCAAACTGTCTACATTTTGAAAATTCAATTCCGCCAAATAAGAATAAGACATTGTGATATGAGCAAGTTTAAACAAAGGGGTTGGTCATTTTTTAAAAACATTGATATAGTTAGCAAGTTTAAAATATTTTTAAAATGTTCAAACCATTTTTAAATGAAAAGGAAAAAGGCAAATCTAAATTTCATATGTATTACTGTTCTTATAAGCCTTGTCATTTTATTTTTAAATGATTGTCCATTACATGTGAATAAGCCTCATCTTGTTGAAAAGCACATATGGACTAAGTTAGCTGGCATTTTCCTTATCAAAAAATAAACAAGTCTGAACGTGGGTGTTCTGTCAATCAGAACACTTAGCCATGTTACAGGCGCAACTGATGCACAAATCCATTACCCAGACATAAAATGCTTTACCAAAAACAAATTAAATAGCTTTATAGCTCCTAGCTGGATACATAGTCAAAATATGCAAAGGATGAAATATGTATGTGACTTCAAGAGAAGAAATTGAAACCAGGAGACAATTACTTCTCAGCAGTGCAAATTATACCCCAACCCTCATATTTTCATGTCTTGTCTTGTTTGTCTTATTTAGATGGTAAACTTAGTGGGGGAGGGAAGAAACTGTCCCTTACTATATTCTATCAGCCAGTTCTGCATATTTCTATTGGTGCTTCTATTGCAAATAAATATTTATTATCATTGGAAGAAATTTATTTGTATAAAAGAGAAATGGAGAGGGAATCTGAATCCTGTCCTACTCAGGAAATGGGGATAAGTCATTTCACTTTCTTACTATTTTCCTCTCTAATAAATGGAAGTACCCACTTTCCTTTGCCAGGCTGTGGTGTGAGATTTCATTATGCAATACCTACGAAGTCAATGAAGCTCCTTAGAAGACTGGTGTTATATAAACAGCAAATATTTTCACCATCAGTGGGCTGAGTTGTGTAACATCAGCCACAAGGTTGGAGGGGGATGTTTGTAGGTTTATCAAACTTTATTTCATAAAATAAATTTGCTCTCTTTAGGTATTTTTTTTATATTAGTGGACATTATTCTTAATAGAAATGTATTCTTGATATCTAGAAGACACCTTGTTTTATAATGAAGCAGATCAGTTCTGTGCTGATAAGAGAGAAAGTTTTAGTGAAACCTCAGCAAGTTCATGCTCAGAACGAGCTCTCCTTTTAATCTGCTACAAGTCAAGTGAATATGCTTCAAAGGGAAGAATGCCCTTGAAAAATTAAACCTATTTCATGGTCCTAGTGATTTTTTCTTTACTTTTTTTCCTAAATGCATCCAGGATCACATATAATAGTAAAGTGAACTAGGGATATTATAAATTATATCAGTGTCCAAAAGCACTCAAGAAGAAATTTCACTCATGTCGCAGGGAAAATGTCCTGAGACCCCAACCTAGCCATATCCTTGTTTCAACTGGCTTTGCTTTAATCCCACTGAAAAGCTAATGTTGCAAATTAATTCCAATTCATTAAATAATAAGCACCATTAAATTACCTTACTTTTCTGTTCAAGGACTCCAAAAAATTGTGACACTCTGAAACTATACTTTTAGACAAAAAGAAGAACTAAATTGGACCACAGCAGAGACAATCAGATAACATTTTCTAAGGTCAGGTCTTTCTTATGGTTCAAATGCAAATTCAATATCATCTAAGACCACATGGTCATTTTCATTGACTGACCCAATGTGAGATGTCAAGAATGCCTGCATTTATCCAGTCTAGTATCACCTTCTATTGAGCAATGTATAGACAGCAGAACAACTCTTAACAAATTAAATTTTAAAAATATTGAGTGTGAAACATTACTTTTCCAAATCTAGTAAGAATACATGAATTGTGTTTTCCATCACACTCAGAAATTTCTTTAGGGTACATATTTCACAGAAATCAGGAATCAAAACAATCACTGATAGTCTACTGAGTGAGGCAAAAACATATGTGGGTCCTAAAACATTTCAATCAAATAACAAAGTTTAAACTGAATATAGAGATTAAAGATTAGGATTCTGTGATCACATGGAGTGAGATCAAAATATCTATTCAGAAATCATGCAGGCTAGATGTGGGCACAAGACTCCCCAACTAAGAAGTCAAAGTTTCTTTACATCAAGCCAAGTTCCCACTTACTACTACTTAAACATTTATTCCTGGTTTTTGTAATAATATGAATTCAGAAATTTTCCTTGAAAAATGTAATGATCCAAGATGACAAATTTCAAGAATTAGAGTATAATTAATAAACTTGTCCATCTAGAAAAAGGAAAGTTTGAACTGAAAGAATATTAAAAGAATAAAGGAAATGCTTGACTGCTTTCTATGTGTTCAGAGAGAATGACTGAATGGCACAAAATGATCTAGTTAGCTACTAATAAAGTCAGGGTAAAGACCAATTTGATGAAGTCCACTGTTACAATGGGATATCTTCATTAGAAACACAGCCTTGCTCTCTCATTTACATAGTATCTGTAATTGCACTTGTGATTCAACAGCAGAGTTGAGCAGTTGCAACTTATGGCCCACAAAGATAAAAATTATTTACTATCTGTCCTTTTACAGATAAAATTTGCCAATCACTGGAACAGAGACTATTTCTAGATACAGTTATTTAAACAAGATTTTTTTTTAATTCAAATTGAGATGTTTTTAAAAAATAACTTCAGTGAGATGAATGCTTAAGGGAGAATACGGTACAAATGTTTTACTGTAGTAATTGAAATCCCATATGCCACTCAAACTCTTGGTTTTCATTCAGATGTAAGAGAGACCAAGACTGCACCATTTCATCTTGAGTTTCATATAGCTTGTAGAACGTCTAGTTAGATAAAGAAAATGATTTATCTGTGGCATTTGGTATAGAATCTGGTCCTGATAAACTTAACTTCTGATTTTGGTACCAAAATATTTAAAGATAATATTTAAAATGGGTTAGATTAAAAATTATGTTGATGGAGAAAAACAAACTACAATGAATTCACAACTTCCTTGCCTTACAAGTGAGTCTTACTCTCCCAGGACAATATTCTTATCTGAGTAATTTGACTAATACACCACAGACACTTTCAAATACACAGTGGTATTTACCATGCAGTGTCAATTAGAATCTTCTCCCCAAGCTCATAATTGACAATAGGCATGAATATACAGGACAACATATCAAGACAGACTCTAGATAAATGGCTAAATGCACCTAGAGCTTTAAGATTTGCTATTTGATAAGCAAAAGAGCTGGGAGTTACAGGAAAGGGAGAAACGGCACCAAGGATCACATTCCCAACAGGTAGCAACATAGCACATTAACTGCCTGCAATAAAGGAAATAAATCTCAATTACAAAAAAAAAAAAAGACCCTCATCACTTAGCTGTCACTGTGTCATTCCTGCTTTGTAAAACACCATGTTTCAGAACGAAAAGCTGTTTGTAACAAAGATGCTCTGTTTGTGATCCTAATTGCATTGCCTATACATTTTTAATGGACATTTTTAAAAAAATTATTACCTTACTCTTTTTTAAAAAGTGAAGGGAAGAGATTTCTTTCAGAATTGTTCTTTACAGGCAAACAGCAAACATCCTCTATTTGCTGACCTATGACATTAAACAATACATCCCTGCCATCTAGTGGCCATAACTGGAAACAATTTTGAAACATAGCTTTGGTTACTTTGTTGAAACTCTGATTTTTTCTATTTAAGTCCCCCAAAATATCTTTTTACTAAAAACACAAAGATGAATGTAATCAAGCTATTATAAAGTAAATTGTATATAATTAAGTTTATGTACATGAAGGCAAAAAGTTATCATTCGGTTGAAATAAAACTACCCATACACTAGAAACAGATGAGGAAGTCTATTTGCTTGAAAGATTTTGAGATAAATCCACATCAATTTGTAGCCTTTATTTATCCATGTTGTTTGCATACTTATATAAAATACCTATGTTTATGAATAAAAATAAAGAATTTATAAACAAGTTTCTAAAGAAAAACAATATTTCAAAATATTGCCCTGATATTTAAATTATAGGTGACTAAGTCTCTACTTCTGCAACCACCTCCCCCCCATACACACACACACACGCACACACACAACCAAATGGCTTACTTACTCACTCTGGCATCTTCTCTCACTGTCTGATACTAGAATTTCCATAAACATTTAGATAAGCAAAATTTTAGCTTTAAAAAGATAAAACTCCCTTCTAGAGAACCACTTCTTTTAGAACTTTTTCACTAGTCACTTGACAACTATTTTTCAGCACCGAATATACACTAAACCTTACAATTTAACACTTTTGTAAATTTTCTATTCATTTTCTCCCAACAGTCTGATTTTTATATCCCTTTGTTATATTATACCAATATAATACAGATATCTAGGAGTTAGTACAAAATTATATCACATTATAGAGACTATAAGAGCATGAGATACAAGAACTATTGCTTTATTAGTTTTCAGGATCTAGAAATATCTATCTTAAAAAACAAGATGTGTTCATCATCTTTTTCCAATAAATTATTTACTTTAATTTCCTCTATATCACCTATTAGTAATTTTTCCTTAGTGTCCTCTATGTCTAGAATGCCATACGCCTCATGAAGGGTATGTTAACATGAATGTAAAAGAATTTGAAGATCCTTGTGGAAAAGAGACAAATGAAACTGTCCTAGAGCCCATTTATATATTGCCAAACTCATATGAAAATATGAATAAACATAATCATAATAACTCAAACATATTTTACAACATAGACTAGGATTTCTGGAAACTTGACTCAAAATTTTGATATCCTCAATGATTGCAGTGTAGGCTTCAATCTGCAAAATTACTGCTGGGAACAAGAAGTACGAAGTTGTGGTGTCAATAGCAAAGGCATAGTGGATGTTATTATCTGGCATTTCAAAACTGTGATTATTATATGTGTCATCTTGCTCTTCAATTTCAGCAGTGCTCTTTGAATTTCAGCATTCATTTTACTATATGCATGTGATAGTCACTCTCGTATAACTATTAAATGACAAATGCAAAAATCTAATGTTGACTCACTGGATTTCAAGTTAGCATTTTGCCAAATTTCATATAAAGCCTGACACAGCGTGACTTTTAGTTTCAAACTCATTATCATATCACATCCTGAACCTAGGTGGATCTATTTTATTTCCCAATGTCAGTATTAATTACCACTAGAGACACTGATTAAAGACAATTTTGACAGAGTTAAAATGAAAGGCTGTATAAAATGTGTGTATGTGTGATACGTATCAGATATCTTAATATATATGATATATCATGTTTTGTCTTCTTTCCCTCATATATATCTAATTGACTCTGCCAAATATTGATTATCAATAAATTAGATTATCTTCATGGGGGAGGTAAGATATAAACTGGGATGGCGCCCAAGACCCACAGAATGCAGGAATATTGGGGGATTGCCCTGTATTAGATGATGTAAGAAGTGCAATAACTTTTTAAAACTAGATTGTAATTTAAGTAAGAAGAAAAATATATATTAAATTCTAAGTTAATGTCAGAAACAAATCAATTAATGTTTGTGGTAACTTTCATTACACAATGGGCCATTGTTAAAATTGCACTATTGCATGTTTATTGAAAGGATCAGGGACTCACAACATATTTTATGGTAAAAAATGACCAGATAACTTTATAATCAAAATGTGGAATAGACTCTCCCACTGACTTGGTGGCAGGCCAGCTTCCACTATATAAATGCTTACATTTTCCAAGCCCAGGAGCACAAGAAGTGGAATAGTGGTCATTCCTCCTTGGATCCACTCCTGAAGAGAAACTGTTCCATCATGATCATAGTCAATTTCTTCCATCATTTCATGGAGGATCTAGAATATAGCAGAGGAAGAAATAAGAAAAGACTTGCAATTAATCAATAAAATGAATTTCATATGATACAACCAAGGACCTGCATTGCATTAAACTGGCTATAATAAACTGTAACTAATAGGAACATGTAGAGTTCAGTTAAAAATATAAGTAATTCCATATAATGCTAATCCTATTATTGAGGAAATCGTGGCTTTGCTCTGATTTATAGAACCTGACTACTTACACTGATCAACTTTTAGGAATAATTGCTTAACTTTTTAATATTTTGTCACTGAAAGGTACTGCTAAAACAAGAAGATATTGTTAATTTAATGGTGAAAGTGGTCCTTAATTGCTTTCTCTAGATTATTTTTTTATTTAAATATATGCTGGATAATGTCTGAACAAATTAACTTCATGGCAAAGAGCTGAAATAATTCTTGGCTAAGTGCTAAGGGGCGAGAGAATTAAGGTGCTTCTAATTGCCTATCAGAACTTAACAGAGCCAAGATGTTAAACAATCAAGTCATCTTTGATTAGATCTCTGTTCTACAGATGACTTGCATAAAGTCCCACAACATTTTCCACAGTGTTTGCAGTACATTATCTCTCAGGAGTACAGTGAAAATACCAGTATTTAATCCACAGGGTTGGTGTAAAGATTAAATGTGTTAATATGTCTCTTCAAAGAGCATCAAGCAAAAGTAGTAAGTCAGTCATATAGGTATTGTTAGTGTGATATCAGCAGAAATCAGTAAGTTCCAAACATTACCCTTGTCTGTAGGGAAAGCAAGCCCTTCCCATGTAACAGCACAAGATGGCTGATGTGCTAGAACGCCAGTACAGTAAGCAGCTCACACCTTAATCTAATATGTACATTTCAATCAATTCAGAAAAATAATGAATTGCAGACAGCATTAGAACAAAAGTTTGAAGAAGTGCAATAAGTGGAATCAACCTGATATCTCGACAAGTAGTGTTATGGTTGACTGGCACTTTAAACTTAGATTATTTATCCTCATAGAAATAAACTTATCTATCGGTGTTAGAAAAACAGATACTTTTAAGGACAAAATGATGCAGAATTAATTATTTGATTATTTTCAAAATGAGAAGAGTAGATATTTACAATTTATCAAATTGGCTGCACATCTTCTGTCCTGGCCTTGAAGGTGCTCTAAGGAACTGGTAGAAATGAACAGATGAGACAACCAAAGCACAAGGCATTTGTCTTAGGCAGCTGATCTTTCATTTTGTTCCTAATATTAATTAGAACCTGGCTTCATGTTTTTAAAAACTTACTTAAAAAACATCTCAGTCTGTCCTACTTAATGCCATCAACTTTAATTGGTCACTTCTCATTATTCACATCTGCAGACTCATCAGGGGTCTGACAATATGTACAAATGTGTACATTTGTTTTAAATGGGCGACAGCTGTTGAATCATTCGGCAAGCAAAGGCAGTTACTGTGACAGCAACACGGTGCACAGGTAAGTCATATTGCCTTTCTGCAGAAACCCCAGTGTGTGCCACACATGGTAAGTAAGGCTATATAGATTACTAATTGTACTTCCCAATAGGCATCTGTCATCACTAGACTGTTTAGCCACCAAAGGTTTCCTTCTTCAGAGCTTCCAGATCTTTCTCTTCTCAAATCCACCTCCCCACTATAAACAGTTTTGCTTGTGAAGATGTGCCCACTTCTGCTTTGAAAGCTGACAAGAAAATAACCCACATCCCTCCATCACTCCAGGGAGAACATGAGACTTGGCAGACAAGTAAGTAACTGTCATAGATATTAAGGTGATGGGTAGGGAAGAATTTTTAAAGTTATGTAACTAAAAAAAAAAAGTGCACAATAAAACTATTAAGTCCCTTGACTTCAGTTAAAATACTTTTAAAGTGAATCAAATGCATGTTACCAGCTACTTTGTCATCTCATATACACACTGTAACCTGTAAATGACATCTACTACCCAGTATGAGCACAGCAAGGATATTTCAACATGGACCCCAAAGAAAAAAAGAATGGAGCCAAAACCTGGAAAATTCCAATCTCAGTAAAAATGCTGCCTTCCATTGCACATGACATTGCACATAGCTTTAATGTATTTTACTTGCACGAACTTGGAATGCAAGAGTGCAAAGCCAGGGAATTCTATGAGAGTTCTCTGTCACATGACCATGCCATACATGCTGTTAACTGCATAAAAATGAGCAGTAGTTAAAGAATAGGCTTCTTGAACTTAGACAAAATGTAAACCATTTAATAAAACTAATTTGTATTTGCTTCAGTCATTAGCAATTTGTTATACTTGAGTTGGTTTCAAAAAAATTAAAATCAGTAGCATTTGTCAACTCTCCCCAAAAGATTATTTCTGTCCAAAATCAAAAAATCAAAATATTTTTAATCAAGTATGTTTTAATGTAACTTGAAAAACATGGTGAATTTGGCATACATTCTTATCAGCATCATTAGATAGAATTTATTTAAATGATTTGATTACAATTTCCTAGTTCTATCTTTACCCTGCTAAAGAGTTTTGCACAAGTAACTTTAACATTTCAATGCCTCAATTTCCTCATCTGTAACATGAATAAAATAGTATCTACCTCAGAGAATTGTCAGCACAAGATAACACAGTGCACGGTGCATAGTCAACTGTCACCATCATTTTCTTACTATCCACATCCTCTTTTAAGATAATTTTAATCTATTTGCATTTTAAAAGATCATAGGGCTATGAAAAATATATCAAAAATTGTTTTATGACATGGCATGACCTTGGCAATGCCCATCAGCAGCTTGTGTTCAGCATGCATAGCAGACCACCATTCAAATTCATCTTCATGACAAAGAAAAACAGTTACAGTGAAGAGCTTCTGAACACCACATACATATATATTTTCTTGTTCAGAATGCACCCTGGCTACTGATTCGAAAAAGTAAGTTAGCAGTAGCCAAAGACAAAATTAAATGGTAGTAATTTATTAGATTTAAAAAAGACAAACGGGAAAGGGAGCTTCTAGAATTCAGCCAACAGTTAAATCATCCATATACCTACTGGGTTAAGTTCAGTGACATCCCATTCAAGGTACTCTGCCACATGCATCATCTGACTGATAATGTTTTCTAGTTCCTGTAGCAAAGAGAGAGAGAGAGAGAGAGAGAGAAAGAGAGAGAGAGAGAAACAAGGCTTTAGTAAGTTCTTCAAGTCTGACTTAGAGAAACTGTTTTTTGTTCAAGTAGCTGAAAAGAAATTATACAAACAATTTCATATATAATTGATCATATATGTATGTATATAACTAAAGGAGTAATATGAGGAATTATATGTGAAATTGATCACATAGCTTCCTTAGTTATATATACATAAATAAACATGATTTCTAAAGGTCTGGTTAACTTAAATAAGAGTCTAAACAGAAATTCATTTTGTACCATATCTAGAAATCTTCACCAGGAGAGGGCACAGCTACCCAAAGAAAGATTTTTCTTTCAGATTTCTAAGAAAGCAAATCTTCCTTTGGAAAGGAATGGATGATAAAAAGAGGTGCATGTGTATTTTTGCAAGATGTGATTTTTAATGTACTGGGTATCCTGACCCTTTGGCTTGAAAACAGGTGTGGAAGGGTGGAAGGAAGTATCCCAGAGCTACTGAGATGTTTATTTTTATTCTGACACACTAAGACTGTGTATTGACAGTTCTAGCCATTTATTGGAATAATTGGCTCTGCTGGAGGAGAGTCCAGGGTCAAGATTTGGAGGCTAAGTACATGAAGAGTTTATTTAGAGGGAATATAATTTTAGTTTGAAGTGTCACATTATTCGGCTTGAATGTGGCTTCTTTGAAGAAATGCTTTCTATGCATAGAACTTGACTAAAATTATTTTCAGGCCTATTTTTTTTTCACTACCTGTCTCCAGAAAAGACTAAACATGGTTTGTAAATGTTAGTAATTTTATTTGTAGTCAATGACATAACAAAAAGTGGTGTTTAATAGTATGATCATTTAAAAAGTAAAAAGTATAAGAATAAGGCATGGGAGTATAATAGTAAAAGATTATTCTTCAGCTCAAATCTCTAACCTAATACATGTATTTAATATCCATGGAATGAAGAAAAGAGTAAAATAGATCTCCTTTTGGCGGGAGTTCTCTGAGAAACTGATGGAAGTTCATATTTTCCAGAAAAAGTTCAATCAAGAAAATGTTACTTATGTAATATCATTTTCTCCAGAAACAGTGCACATATATGTATGCTTATTTACTACAAAAATCCCTTGGAATTATAAGCTAGAATTGTGTGTGTGTGTGTGTGTTACTGAACTTTCACCTACTCTAACTCTACTCATTTACGTAATAGCTTCAAAGAGTTAAAGACCCTCTTAAGTTTATAGGGATAAAAAATGATGTTTAATGGACTATTACAGTAGGCATGTAACATTACATAGTTATTTAACCTCCTTAAGACTCGGTTTCCTCATCAGCAACATGGATATTCGAATCTTACCTAGTTCAGAGTTGCTACAAATATGCTATATATGAGATGAACTACCCATCAGGCGTATTGAAAATGATCAGCGAGCATTAATAAGTAATATTAGACATAGTGGTCATTTTTCAAAGAACCCATTTTCCTCTGTTTATCTTTATGGGTGAACTGCTTTACCTTTAAATTTCCAAGAAAAGTCATCAGAAAATGCAATTACAACGTGATATCGAAGGGATTATACTAGGGAAGGAAGTTACATGCAGAAAACCATACCAATAATTTCCAAACTTTTCATTACTAAAAAAAAAAATAGACTAGTTTAATGATAAACAAATGCATTTATCCCCAACACATTGTTTATCAGTAACATAGTTAATAAATATTGTTTGTAATATAACTGTGATAATAAAAAAAGCATTAGACTGAATTTTTAAATCAGCTGCCAACCCCTGGCTAAAAGCCTAGTAAAGAAACATTCCTTTAATTAAGTTAAAAGAAACAGTAAATAAATCTGCATTAAAAATATAATTTGCAGTAGTAGTATAGTCAGAAGTGCTATAATAAGCATATTGAATTATCTAGAAGAAATCTAAACTCTTAGCTATGAAATGCCACCAGAAAATGAGCAAATTTATCATGCAGTCTGATATTCCTAAATGGCAAAGGAACTACTGGGCACTTAAAAATAATAGCACTTGAAATATCAGAGCAACGTAAACATTAAAACATCTCACAATCATAGCATCAATTCAGATTGGTGGTCATTTCCTAGAGCAGGAATTATATATTTTTATCTCTCTCTGGAGAAGCTAATGTACCATTATCCTGCTCACATTATCCTACTCAATGTCACAGAAATACACCTCCAACTTCTATAACTTCTATTTGAATTATGCCAGAGCTGGTACATGAGATTATGAGAGAAAGTCACTCATAATATGAGAGAACATTTATTTTAGTCAGTATTAAATATATGAAAACATTTGCTTTTAGTGTACCTATGCAAAATTTCCATAGTCAGATGCTTATTGTTGTGTAAATATCCTTATGTTTCTTTTACATAACAAAAGGAATGTAATATGACATGCAAAATATATTAGAAGATTATAATACACTGTTCGATGGATTTATATATGAGGTACCGACATGTGCTAATTGGTCCTCTCAAAGTTATCAATGATTGGGTAAAGTATGAATAACATAAACACCTACTTATTCCTTGAGGTTAAATCATACAGAGCGGATGTTTTCTTCTATTACCCTTTATGACTAAAATGATTGACAAGAGTACAAGACGCATTTAAAACTGAATGTGACATTTTAAAAAAGGGAAATTGGTCAAAGCAATCTGTACTTACCTTTTCAACAGTATATATGATTAAAAAGATGTTTTAACAGTGGGAAAACAATAAAATAATTAGATTGACTTGATAATTCTTTTAAATTTCACTTGTATTTTGAATATTCTCCTTAGTACCAAATCTCACTGATAAATGTATATTTTTCTTTTTAGGTTAATGGTCTCAACTTTCGCTAATGTTTTATTCAGACAACACTGGAGTTTTCCTTTTCATCTAAGTTCAGTGCATTAAAAAGTCACTTTTGTAGTAAAATTATTCAATAGAATAATTGTAATCCTAACGGTTTCCTAAGATCACTCTCAAAGTCAGATGATCAAAATGCTGTGTGAGTGCATGGAAATTATATTGAGTGTGCCTTCTGTGGTAATAGCTATGAATTTATTCATTGCTTTGTTTCAGAACAAACTACTTTGAAGTTTTCACAGAAAATTTGAAGGAAAAAAATTACCGAGCTGTCCAGGAAGCCATTTCCATCCGTGTCATAAAGGCGAAACATAACTAAAATAAAAGAGGTGTGGAAAAAAGATTATAGGCAAGTTGCATCAATATTAGCATAAGTGATATTCCTTAAAAAATAGTTTCTGTTAAAAACAAATACTAAAGCCATCCCCTATTCAAAGTAATTAATTTGTGGTAGCATATCACAGTTAAATTGAAAATGAATTAGTTAATGAAAATACTGCCTATCAGATTAAAATGCTATCAAATTTTGTTATATACCTGGAAAACTCTGGAAAGTACTATTATCTGTTCAAATTCTTTATTACAAGATAGACAATAATTATTACAAGATCATTAAATGAAAAGTTAAAAAATGCAAAAATGGAGTTAGGCATTCAGAGTCTAGATATTAAAGGGCAGAATAGATAAACAGAAATAACTGGTTTGGAGGTCTGAAAATCAATCTTAATTTAGAATCTGCTATCCATTATTATGTGAGCTTAGCCAAACTCTGTTTTCTTATTTGGAAAATGAGAATAATCACTCTGTCATAAAGCACATTTTCTGTGAAAAGGTAAATAAGGAAATATACAAGAACGTATATCAACAGCCATAGGTAACCACCCAAATATATATCAGAATTATATATGATTCCCAAGTAATATGAGAAAGAAAGGATTAGTGCAAAATTAGTGCACTTTTCTGATGGAGGACAAGAAGACATAAAATGCGTTATTATCTTGGTCATATTGGTGTGGTGTTATCTGTGATGCATTTGTAAACTAATCAAGTAAGGAAAAGGACAGCTCAGGAAAGCAGGGTGTCAGAGGTCGAGAACCAGTCTGAGGATTCCTTATATAATTCAGACACCACCAGGAGACCACAGAAGAGACAACAGTGCCATTTTGAGATAAACAGAGAAAAATGTCACAGCTGTGAAAACAGAGAAATGGAAGTAAGGCTTTGTGTTGGGTTTGTATAATTTCCCAGAGAATCTTAATATCTGAGGTCTATAATATTAAACAGACATTGACAGCTAGGAGACAAAATAAGTCAATGACCTTGGACATTTATCTGTTAACTAATCATTATTTTGGTGTTATTTAACAATAATTATATATTTCACCAACTCAAAGAAATTATTTATAAAATGCCAAGTAATCACGTTCTTTTACTGTAAAATACAAAGACTTTAAAGATGTTAAAACGTAAGCAAAAAATGTTCACCTCTTACATAAAAGGAAATTAAGTCTGTTAGCTAAAAGATGGAAAGAAAACTATTACAATTCATGAAGATCGATTGAGCTCTCTCATATAATCAATATATGAGAATAAAATGCAGAAATGAAAAAAATACTGCAATTGGATACTAAGCATTTCAAGATTTTCTAGCACAGCAGAAAATGGTAAAATTATAGTTGTAAAGTGACAAAAAAAATCACACCATCTAAAGAACATGTAAGTGGCAGAAATAAGGAAAGAACTTATAAAAACCTAACTATATTTTAGAATTAGGGTCATTCATAACTCTTAATCCTTGTCAGATTAGTGACTGCTAATGTATTTCATGCATCTCAGATACATGAAAAACCTGTGCCTACTAGTGGACTTTGTGGTAAGTGTGAGCATAAAGATACCCACACTAATAGGTGGGTATGTGGGTGTGTCATTCATTTTTGGCAGCATCTGAAACTTCTATATTCTGAAAGCCACACTTGACACAGCAGAATAAAAGGTGAAACACTTTATTTTATTCAAGTCAGACACTAGCCTGACTTGAAGGTAGACTCCACAGTGACCCAGGCTCTACTCTTCAGTGGCACAACCCCTGATGATCCACTAGATGCCAGTGACCCAAGGGGAAAAGGAGCTGCCCAGATTCTGGAGATGGGAGGCAGTGCCTCAGTGGAGTAATGGGAGAGGGAGAAATTAGAGTCCTGGATATGTCAGAGGAGATGATCCTGTGAGGTGATCTCTCTGTGCACAGAGGAGTAGTAATAGCTATATTCTCCAATCCAATTTAGTACTTAATTTGGTCATCACTCCTGGAGTTGCAGCCTCCAAATCTAGTTCTCTGTCTCCTCCAATGATTCTACTTGTCCCTGCTTGCTGGAATTTTCATGTATTTTTTAGCCAACTAACTATCCTTTACTGTTATCCAAATCTCTAGCCAATTTTTCATAGATTCATTTGTCTAATTTTTAATGATTTGTAAAAGTTTTATTTGTCTGTTTTATATTTAGGCCCTTTTTAGATGATAGATGCAAACACAACCACCTACTCTATATTGTGACTTAGCATAATCTTGATAAACCAAAGTTCACACTTTTAATAGAAGTCTAATTCATCAAACTTATCCTTTCTGGTATAATTCTTTATGTCTTATATAATATTTAGCTCTCACCAAATCACAAGGACCATCTTCTTTTGTGTTTCCTATAAATATTAATATTGGAGTTAAGTTTTGGGTATAGTTAAGGTGAGATTCATTATAATCTCTTTTCTGTACTTGATAAATTTTATTTTCAAAGGTGATGCAAAAATAACTAGACTCCCACATGTTTTTCTACACTTTGATCTTGACACTTTTTCCATCATAGTTAGGGGTTTATAGCCTACCCCTTGAATCAGAGTGGGTTTATACTTTCCTTATATTAAATAAAGTGAAGCTAAATTAAGGCACTAGTTTCTGCAGATATGTCATAGCTGTGAGGCAACTTCTTCCTTTTGTAGAACATTTGCTTTGGGACCAAAACCACCAGGCTAATAGTCTGCCTGGATGACACTATTCACAAAATCTCCAATACGGAGAAAGAACATGTAACTTTGTTTGAATTTAAAATTGCCTAGGTCTTTGCATTTACATAAAACATTTAAAAAAATGTGTTCCACACCATTCCCCCCAAAACATGCCACATTTCAATTGAGATTGCACTGGAGTTACACATCTATTTGAAGAGAGACTTACAATGCTGAATATTTAAAAAAGTAGCTATATGATGCACTCTTTCTTTAGAGCCTCAATTTCTCTCAATAATGTTTCATAGTGTTCTAGATAGAGGAATTTCAAATATTTACTAAAGATTTACTACTAAGTGTTTATTTAATAATTCCAATATGACAAATAGTATTTTTTTAAAGATTTATTTATTTATACAGAACTGGGGTACAGTCAGAGGCACAGGAGGGTGAGAGAATTCACCAGAGACAGAGTGGGGAGCAGAACAGGCAGACAGATGGAAGATACTGCTGAGGGGAGCAGCGGAAGCAGGAAAGGTCTGCTGCGCCATGTGTGTTTCTCCCTGGCTGGCCTGGAATTGAACCTGTGCTACTGAGGCTGCAGACAACTTCACAGTGCGGCACTCAACCTGCTGTGCCACTGGGGAGACCCGACAAATAGTAATTTTAACTGCAAGTGTTATTATTTGTTTGAGTTACAAAGAAATATATATATATATATATATATATATATATATATTACCATATATCCAGAACCCTTGTTGAAACCATTCTAATTCCAATACTTTATCAAGAGATTATGCTGGATTTTTTAATGTAAACTATTCACTTAGTGTACAAACAATACTTTTCATTTCTTTTCTTCCTACCCTCGTAAATTACACATATTTTTCTTGCCTATTGACTTGGGTGAATCCAACACAAAGTTAAATTTAGTTTAAGATACTGGTCATTGTTGTCTTTTTCTCATTGTCAGTGGGACCACTTTCGACAGTTCACTCTTAAATATGAAGTTTGCTTTGAGACTTAGAACTGTACTACAAACTTAAAATAATTAAAAACAGTATGGTATTAGAATAAAGATACACAGAGACCAATGGAACTGAATTGAGAGCCCAGAAATGAACCCAAACTTTACATGGACAGTTAATCTACTGCAAAGGAGCTACTACATAGGAGAAAGGAAAGTCTCTTCAATAATTAGTGCTAGGAAAACTGGAAGCCACTTGTGAAAGTATCTAACTAGACTCTTCTCTCACACAACTCATAAAAATTAGCTCAAAATGAATTAAATACTTGGATATAAGACTTGAAGCCATAAATACAAATAATAAAACAGTTAAATAACTCCATGACACTGGCTTCAATGATGTGTTTGGGGACTGAAATTCAAAGGCAAGGAAAACAAAAGCAGAAATAAACAAATGGGAATACATCAAACTGAAAAGCTTCTACATAGCAAAAGGAAAGGCACCCTATTGAATGAAAGAAAATATTTGTACAACATATATCTGACAAGGGGCTAATATTCAGCATCTACAAAGAACTAATATAATTCAACAAAAGGAAACAAAGAACCCAATCAAAGCATGGTCAGAAGAACTAAACAGACTCTTCTCCAAAGATACATACAGATGGCCAAGAGGCCCATGAAAAATGTACATTACTTATCATTGGAAAAAACAAATCAAAACCACAGTAAGATACCAACTTCTTCCTTTGAGAATGGCCTATATGAAAAAGATCAGAATCAACAAATATTGGTCAGGATGTGGAGAAAATGGAAACTCACACACTGTTGGTGGGGATGTAGACGGTTTCACATGCAAAATAGTATGGCGTTTTCTCACAATAATGAAAGTAGATCTGGGTCTCCCCGTTGGCACAGGGGTTGAGCGCTGGGTTGCGAAGATCCCCGCAGCCTCTGCAGCACCGGTTCAATCCCCAGCCGCCGGTCGAGGGTCCCACATGGCACGCAGACCTCTCCTGCCGCCCACTGTTCCCCTCAGCAGTGTACTTCGGTCCTTCTGCCTGTTCTGTTCCCTGCTCTGGCTCTGGTGAATTCTCTCACCCTCCCGTGCTTCTGACTGGACCCAGTGATTGTATAAATAAATAAATAAATCTTCAAAAAAATAAAAATAAAAATAAATCTTTAAAAAAAAAAAGGAAATCTACCACATGGTTCAACAATTCCAGTTCTAGTTATCTACCAGACGTATGTAAAAAACACTAATTCAAAGGAATATAGGTACTCCTATGTTCATTACAGGGTTGTTTACAATAGCCAATTTATGGAGATAACCTAAATGGCCAAAGAT